AACACACTCCTCAAACCAAACACACCCACTACATCCACACCTACATCAACTACACCCACCACACGAAACCTCAAACCACATCTACCGCACACAATTCATCCCCATCCACGATACCCACCACATCTACAACCACAACTGCACCGTCCATACCCACCACATCAACCACATCAACCGTACCTATCAAGCCTACTACACCCACTACATCCACATCAACCACACAACAACATCAACAACAACCACACAACAACAACATCAACAACAACACTCAGCACACTCATCACACCCGCTACTGCCACTACATCCCGATCCACCACAGCAGCTAAATCCACAACATCCACCTCACCGACCATATCCACCGTGCACACCAACACCACTACACTCACATCAACATCCACGACACCCACCACATCAATCACACCAACAACATCCGCCATACTCGTCACATCCACTAGGTCCGCAATATCCCAGCTATATGGCTGCGGTCTGTAAATAATCGAGTCTAGACCAGACAATCCAGTGATCAACAGCATGAGCATCGATCTGCGCAATTGGGAACCGATGACATGTGTCAACCAAGTCAGCGAAACTGACCACCCGATCCCGTTAGTCGCCTCTTACGACAAGCATAGTCGCCTTTTATGGCAAGCACATGCGTTGCTGAAGACCTATTCTACCCCGGATCTTCACGGGTCGTCAGGTGTACTGAAAGTGTGAGAACCAATAACGATTCGTGGGGCTTCATGTTTGTTCACATCATCAGTAGTGTGTTCATTGCTACACAGAGAAATTTCGGTTAATCAACCTCAGATAGGTCCCAACACTGTCGGCGTTACTTTCAGGTTTAGACTGAGGACCCACTATCTCTATTAACTAAAACCGTTTCATTGCAGGCTGATGTTTTAAAAACAATATTGTATGGTTGCGTAATGTCCATTATTCTATTATTCCCTCAGTAGTATGTATGTTTTTCCTGGTCTATTTCCTGACAAAAAATGTTCCTGACAAAAAACAAAACAAAACAAAACAAAAAAACAACAACAAAAAAAACACACAAGAAACTCAGTATTTTCTCCTTAGGTATTACCCATTATTTACTAGTGGAGCTACTACGTCCTGTTATTAAAGGAATACCGAGTAGACTGTGTTTCGGTGATGCCACACAGATTTGTGGAGTATAAACATATTAATTTTCCTTCTGAAACTAAAGACGACCAGAGCACATCTTAAACGCTCGTCTTTTGCTACTGAGCTCCAAAACAAATGCATAATTTACGATACCAGATAATAAAAGCGCAGTCTTTATGCAAACGCCCACCACAACCCATCACACGGAAGAGGCTTCCTCTTATCTGTTCCTGTTCAGCTTGACTAATACGTTTACTGAAATCTACATGCCATGAATCACACTTTCAGATAAATACGTCTCGTTACATTCACCGGATACTTACACTAAATGTGATATTAGCATCAATATACATCAACAACCCTCCTTATCGTATTAGGCGCAGGAAGGAATTCCATGACGTCATAGCGCGTGGAGTCAGGACCGTTCAAAGGAACGGTAAACTGTTCAACAACAAAGTCGTGGCGTATTGCCGGAGAATTAGAGGTAAGTCTTGTTTCATTATGAAACTTATAACCTTATAAGTAGTGAAACTCTACCATTGTTGTCTATATCAGCTCAGATAGGTACATATGAAGTAACATTTGTACTACTCGCAGTCGCGTGGCTACCTATGTTATGACATTTCGTCATAAGAAAGGAGAAAGTTTGTATCATAGTAAATTGAAATCCACGTTGTTTTGTTCATGAAAAGATGCTAGACTGTAGCACTAACACGAGGCACAACCATTACTCTTGTGTTGTAACCGGATCCGGCATCCCGGATATCTGTAGTTCCGGCTTCTCAACCAGGAACAATTTCAAACACCATATGGCTTTCAAATAGTTATATTACTCAAACGAAGAACATGTGAAGGTTTTCACATGATAGAATTATTTCTACTGTGTCCGGACAGCGGTTGTGTAGCCTTCTTGTTAACGCGTTCGCTCGTCTAGTGACAGGCCCGTAACTAAAATGTTACGGCTCTTCATGAATGATTCATAACGGATAGGTAATGGTTCTGCAAGACTGGTATATAATGGTTCTACATGACCAATAAATAATTATTTTACATGCCTGATATGTAATTGCTCAACATGATTGATATATTATTGTTCTACACGACACATATGAAAGGTGAGGTGAAATTGGGTTTAACGTCGTGCTTGAGAATATTTCGCTCATATGACCACGTGCATGCGTGTGTATGTGTATGTGCGGCTGCTTGTACTAGCCCAGACTTAAGCTGGTTTTATAGTGCTAGCCCACTGAGATACCATGCCGCAGTGAAGCATGAATACCCCACTCACACACATTATACTGACTCCGAGCCAACCAGTCCTTGTTGTACCCATTAATGCCGAGCGCCAGGCCTTAATGGGTCTTTTGGTATGACGCGGTCGGGGATCGAACCCGCGATCTTCCGCTCTCCGGGCGGACGCTCTAACCACTACACCACGGAGGCGGTTACATATAAAAGGGCGATACATGACTGATATATACTGGACAAAATAAGTTAGGGATATTGGATTTTTATGATTGATATTTTAACAGAGTGTCAATGAATAAATAGATCATTATTCATAATTTCAAAATTTACATATATCCATAATTATTTTTGTCCAGTATATATTGGGTTCTACAAAGTGTATACGGGCTGTACAACGACATGGTTGGCTTGTTGTTTAACACCGCACTCAGCAATATTGTAGCTATATGGCAGCGGTGTGTAAATAATCGTGTTTGGACAAGGCAATCCAGTGATCAACAGCATGAGCATCGATCTACGCAATTAGGATATACAACGACATGACTAACATATAACGATTCTACAGGATTAAAACAGAACAACACTATTTAATATATATGTGTATAACAGCCGTACAGGATGTTACGATATATGACTTATTCATAACTGTTCTATGTGACTGACATATCATGCCTGTTCTTGACCCATGTATAGCGTCCACAGATGACAGAAAAAGCCCCTCCCCCCTCTCTCTCACCTATCGTTCTCTCTCCTCCCCCCCTCCCATTGTCTCTCTGTTTCAGTCCTCCTTCACCATTGTCTTTTTCTCCCTCTCTCTCCCCCAACCTCCCCACTTTCTCTTCCTCTCTCTCCCTCCCTCCTTCACCATTGTCTTTTTCTCCCCCTACCTCCCCACTTTCTCTTCCTGTCAATCCAGATTTGAAGAGGTCATTATGCGACGATGTCGCACTGGCCACACTAGATATACTCACGAATATTTCCTGAAAGGCGAGGATCCTCCGTTTTGCATCCCTTGTGATGAAAGAATCACAGTCAAGCATGTCCTGCTTGACTGTGTTGAATATTCCATCACAAGGGATAAGTATTTCAATGTCAAAACATTGAAGGATCTTTTTTATAATGTCAATTATCATTTAATAGTTGAATTTTTAAAAGAATTAGATTTGTTGACTGATCTGTAAATAGCTAAATATTTTATTATTGGTAGTTTAGATTAGTAACTGAGATTGTTAGTGGCTGTACCCTCTAAGGGGGTTGAAGTAGCGTAAAATTATTGTCCTCCTGAGAGGGTACGTGAGACCCAAAACTTTCAAAGTAAAATGTAAATTTACCATATTTTAAACGTAGTATCTTTGTTCTTTTAACTGCCGGCTAAATGTTCCTACAATCGCCAGCTGCTGAAGGGATGGTGTAAATCCAACTAGGGTCCGTGCAGGTAGCAAAAGTAATGTAAGTCCCCATGGTTCCTAGTATGGTGATCTACCTTCAGTTGTTGGCGATCTATAGCCCGTGTTTTATACTGTATTGTCCTCTTTAATTGAAATGTTTTAGCTTTGTTCGCTAGTTTTATTCATATCTGTGTTTCTCTAGTATTTTTACTGTCCATCGTCGACAGGTTTTAATCTTCAAAATGTTTTCTCTTTCTATTGTACGTATTGTTTTCGTCACGATATGGCTGAGATATTGCCGATGTGACGTTAAATATTAACTCACTCCCTCACTTTCTCTTCCTCTCTCTCCATCCCGCCTTCACCATTGTCTTTTTCTCCCTCTCTCTCCCCCTACCTCCCCACTTTCTCTTCTTCTCTCTCCCTCCCGCCTTCACCATTGTCTTTTTCTCCCTCTCTCTCCCCCTACCTCCCCACTTTCTCATCCTCTCTCTCCTCCCGCCTTCACCATTGTCTTTTCTCCCTCTCTCTCCCTACCTCCCCACTTTCTTCTTCTCTCTCTCCCGCCTTCACCATTGTCTTTTCTCTCCTCTCTCTCCCCTACCTCCCCACTTTCTCTTCTTCTCTCTCCCTCCCGCCTTCACCATTGTCTTTTTCTCCCTCTCTCTCCCCCTACCTCCCCACTTTCTCTTCCTCTCTCTCCCTCCCGCCTTCACCATTGTCTTTTTCTCCCTCTCTCTCCCCTACCTCCCCACTTTCTCTTCCTCTCTCTCCCTCCCGCCTTCACCATTGTCTTTTTCTCCCTCTCTCTCCCCCTACCTCCCCACTTTCTCTTCCTCTCTCTCCCTCCCGCCTTCACCATTGTCTTTTTCTCCCTCTCTCTCTCCTACCTCCCCACTTTCTCTTCTTTTCTCTCTCTCTCTTCCACTCTCTCTGCTCCCTCCATTCTCTTGTCTCTCTCTCCCTCTCTCTCCCCCTTCTCTCTCTCTCGGTTTACGCCGAAGTCAAGTTTATAGTCTGAAGAGAACGGAACCCCCAAGACGCTTATGTTACACATGTATTTGGCTGAGGTTACGGCAGTAAATCCCCTCACCCTTTCTTAATGCTCTCCTGCTTTGCGGACATCCCATGTGTTTACCGTTATCTCACACGCACGCAAGACCCGATGTCGCGGAGAGTGGGCTTTAGTTATGGGTCTGGTATGCGAGAAATCTGAGCAACTTCCGTGAGTGAGATGAACGAGCGAGACCTGTACAAGACACAAGAAGTCCCATAGCATGCTGTGTCCGTCCTGCATTTTCCTCCACCTCGTGTGAATCTGTTTAGTCTGAAAGCGTTACTTTGTTTATATTGACATTGCAATCCGGCGTACGGGACCCTCAAGCTCCACGAGGTATGAGGTAAGGTTGGAAATGTGATGTATTTAATTGAAATCAGTTTAACGTTAAAGTTGAGATGCATCCCCACTTTACTGCAAAACGAACAAGTTTCTTAAGTGTTTCCGTTTGCTCTCAAGAAGCAGTGTCTCTGTACCGGTATGCAGCATACGTAGTTCTAAGTCAACATCGAGTGTTTAGCGTCAACAAAATCAGCAAACGCGCTATTGTGTCGCGGGATTGTCTAGTCCAGTTGTTTTCAGGTCTCCCGTGGCAGCAGCTGGGTGCGGCGCTTAGCATCAAATACCAACGTTTATTGTGTCAACTTTGTGATAGGTTGTCTGGCCGGTAGTGTAGGTCATCCTGACCGTCTCTGTGTGCCATCTCCCATCTCGGTGGTCCATGCAGATAATGTCAATAACGCTCTGGGGATAATCGAGGCTGACTGTTATCTCGTGCTGACGTTTTGAATTTCATTTGTGTCCCAATGTATTACTGAAGAGAATTTTACCTAGCTGTATATGTTCACGTCTCAAACGACTTGCTGGGTATAAAGAATATACACCTGAAACTATAAGGGGGTTATGTATATTCAGTGAGTGAATATTTACATATATTATCTAAATATTTCTATTCCCTGAATCCCTGAGATATGATATACTGTCTCTGAGATATGATATACTGTCTCCGAGATATGATATACTGTCTCTGAGATATGATATACTGTCTCTGAGATATGATATACTGTCTCTAAGATATGATATACTGTCTCTGAGATATGACATACTGCCTCTGAGATATGATATACTGTCTCTGATATACTGTCCCTGAGATATGATATACTGTCTCTGAGATATGATATACTGTCCCTGAGATATGATATACTGTCTCTGAGATCTGAGATATGATATACTGTCTCTGAGATATGATATACTGTCTCTGATATATGATATACTGTCTCTGAGATATGGTATGCTTTCTCTGAGATATGATATACTGTCTCCGAGATATGATATACTGTCTCTGAGATATGATATACTGTCTCTGAGAGATATACTGTCCTTGAGATATGATATACACAGAGACATGATATACTGTCTCTGAGATATTATATACTGTTTCTGAAATATGATATTCTGTCCCTGAGATATGATATACTGTCTCTGAGATATGATATACTGTCTCTGAGAGATATACTGTCTCTGAGACATGATATACTGTCTCTGAGATATGATATACTGTCCCTGAGATATGATATACTGTCTCTGAGATATGGTATGCTTTCTCTGAGATATGATATACTGTCTCCGAGATATGATATACTGTCTCTGAGATATGATATACTGTCTCTGAGATATGATATTCTGTCTCTGAGATATGATATACACAGAGACATGATATACTGTCTATGAGATATGATATACTGTTTCTGAAATATGATATTCTGTCCCTGAGATATGATATACTGTCTCTGAGATATGATATACTGTCTCTGAGATATGATATACTGTAGTACAGAGCGAAGTGTCAACAAGTCATGGACAAGTATACATGAGGACCACGTCAGATTGTAAATGCCCCAACATCTATATACAATGTATCATAATATCATAACATATAAACTGTTTTCTCTAGTATCATAGATATTGATTCTTACACACATACATACATACAGTGTGTTGGTATATGTATATATGTATGTATGTATGTATGCATGCATGCATGCGTGCGTGTGCGTGTGCGCGCGCGCGCGCGTGTGTGTGTGTGTGTGTGTGTGTGTGTGTGTGTGTGTGTGTGTGTGTGTGTGTGTGGTAGTGAGGATATACAAGGTTTCTAGCAAAAGAAAAGAATACCTTGTTTTAGCCAGATCTGATACTACAGTGAGCACAGGGATACTGTCACTCGATTGAACAAGCATGAACTGTTCTGTTGCATAATGTTGAAAAACATGTTGGCATCTACTTGTGCTTTCCCAGCAATTTGTAGGATGTATGAAGAGATACCAGGTTTCGGGAAAACATTGTACCTTGTTTTGGCCAGATCTGATGATACAGTGAGCACGGGGATACTGTCACTCGATAACATAACACATGGAATGTTTGATGCGTAATGTTGAAAAACATGTTGGTATTTTCATTCGATTATCTGGCAATTCATAAGATATATGACGAGAGTACAAAGTTTTTAGAAAACATTTTGCCTTGTTTTGGCCAGTTTTGGTAATACAGAGAGTCCAGGGATACTGCGACTCGTCTACACAAGAACACAAATATCCAGATGCATAATATTGAGATAGAGGTCTGTAACATTTTATTGCCTGTTTAGAACTTGTCATTTTTGCTACTTATTTGATATATGAAAAATTGAGTTTTCAAAATAGTGTACTTTTACCTCATGTTTGCAATATTTGGACATGCAGTGAAAGCAATGGTACTATCACTGTGTTATTGGAGTATCAAATAGTTGATATATAAAATTGGATAGCTTTTTTGCAACAACTTTTGACTGTCTTTTTCAAAATGTATGGTAGATATTAAGATATAAAACAAAGTACGAATTTTTTCAAGAAATGTTTACCTTGTTACACTCAATATACCGGATAATACAGACAAAACATGGATACTGTCACCCCCTTGCAATTGCACAGACCTGATGTGTTTGGATTCATGTTGAAGAGCATAGTGGCATCTACATTAAAGAGCCCGGGAAATTGTAATATGTCAGAAGAAATAGGGTTTCTAGAAACACTTGCCCTTGTTTTGGGTTGGTTTGAAAACTGTCGGTCGGCCATGCGAATGAATATGATTATAATTGGCAGGGGCATCTGCGCCAAACGACCTGTCGTTGAAAATCTTTGGAGCCGGTGTAGGTTTACAAAGTCCATCTTTTCCGCATCCTCCACTTTCATGTTTGCGAGCAGTTTCCTCACTTCAGATTCCGGGTCTTGATTATCGAGGATTCCATACACGAGAAGTTTTTGTTTCCGCGAATACATCTCATGTTGTAGGTCTCTTTTTTCCATTTCGGCTCTCAATTCGCACATGTCTGCTTTCAATGCCTCTATCTCACATCTGTTCTCGTCAATTGATTTTGAATTAAAGTTTATTGAGTTCACAAAGTCCTCAACTTTGGAATTTGTATTCTCCGCTTGTGTTTGTAGGATATCCATTCTCTCCGCTAGTCTGTCTGAGAGTTTGTTTAATTCGGCTGTGATGAAAAGCTTCCCTTGCACATGTCGTCCATATTGTTTTCGTATGTGTGTGTGTGTGTATGTATGTGTGTGTATGTGTGTATGTATGTATGTGTATGTGTGTATGTATGTATGTATGTATGTGTGTGTATGTATGTATGTATGTATGTATGTATGTATGTATGTATGTATGTATGTATGTATGTATGTGTGTGTGTGTGTGTGTGTGTATGTATGTATGTATGTATGTATGTGTGTGTATGTATGTATGTGTGTGTATGTATGTGTGTATGTATGTATGTATGTGTGTGTATGTATGTATGTATGTGCATGTGTGTGTGTGTGTGTGTGTGTAAGAATTAATTATTCAAGAAAATAGGGAAACAGTATATAACGGTTTAATGTTTATTATATAAAGATGTTAGGACTCTCTCTATATATAACCCTGTATATAATGAAGTTATGGAATTATCATCCAACAAATGGGGAACATTGTTACATTACTACCCCGTGCATGATACCTGCTGTATTATCATCCCGCCGTAACGTAAAGGTAGTTTCATATACATTGTTACCGGGTAATATAGTATTACTTTGTTGTATTGCCAATAGTATGTATATATGCTTAAAATTCGTCATAGCATTACAAAATGACGAGTCTTTTAAATCCTAATATCATCTGCGGGCAAGTAGCATTGGCTGTATGTTCATCTTGTCAGGGTGTATGTGTAGAGGTACGGACACAGAGCTTCTCACCCTGTATGCTGGCTGTGCAGATAATGGTTGTAACACACTCAGTCAACACGGATCTTCTTTCAGTGACCTTGACCTACAAACATGGAGTGCAGCACGAGTATTGACACAGAACTTTCCCATTTCCTGTAGGGGTGATAGACGTGAAATGGCAGTAATAAATATCGTCGACCTGAGTAGCATATTATTAGTAGATATGCTACTCAGGAAGACGATATTTATTACTGGAGGAATATCATGAGGACATGAGGATTGTATAGAGAAATATGGCGTCGACTGATTGACAGATGATCGTACACGTATTCAGATAGATTAGGTCCATAATGTTAAATAAATGGTATTCATAATTGTTTCCTGCATATACACGTTTTCATCGTATCCACTTTAAAAATGCTATACATTTTCTTTGTTGACTTGTTATCAATTATAGTTATATATTTTCTCGCATATATAAGATGCACGCAAGCTTTGTATAACATCAATGAATATTCCATGCATTATAACTCTATTTGAACTGCAGAGCGGTGGGGTAGATTTGTGGTTACAGCATTGGGTGGAGTCAGTAATGTTTTAATATAAAAATGCTACAGCTGCTAAGTGGCCCCTCCACGCCAGCCTCATATATTGTACCATGGGAGGCCCCGTACAGGTTGTACTCCCCAATCTCACTGTTTACATAAAATAACAGGTAAATAGTTCCAGCCATGTGGACTGTAAACAAACAGAACAATCAAGTTATAAATCCACTGAATGATCCATTGACACTATAGTGAGTTAATTAAACAAAACATGATGGGTTAATTTTGAATCCCGTCTGATGTGTAAATGTGTCGAGACTCTGCTTCTTGTATATAAACGAAGACGTTATGTTCGTCTTGCTATAAGGGGCAAATAATGCGTCTTCGTCCAAGAATTGTTAACAAAGATACATTAAGTATTATTTCATTCTGAAAATAATAGCTGTTTTCGTATTGTGCCTATTTACAATGGTTCACATAACCGTCATTGTAGGCGTTTGTTCTAATACCGTCACACCACAATGGAGCAACAATCTGCTACCACTGACCGACATTCAGTCACGCAGCAATAGGTGTTAATATTGACACAACACAATAGCATTACAAGGGTGATATATAACGAATAGGATTCATGTCAACGACATTTGCACCGACTGTTTGCTTCATTACTTGACTGTAGTCACGTCAGCTTAATGACGTGTAAGATTCGACGTCGAAACGTCGTTAAATGTTGAACAAAAGGCGTTGTTGTCAGTGCTGTACACACTGTCCTACACCTCGACCACTGGTGCAATGTTATGACTAGGGTCCCGTTTCACAAGCGACCTTAACGCCAAGGTGATGTACCTCCCATACTTTAACACTGGCCTAAGGTTGTTGCAGATGGCGGTACGCGTGACTCTGTGGAACCGGTCTCATGCACAATGTCCGTTCTCTTGCTCCCATCACTGATAAAATGTTCATGTTAAAATTATCAACCCTGTTTCTTGTTGCAGTACTCCACAATGTTCCAACTATAAGACGGCTGTCTGTAGGTCATCGATTTTGAATCATTGATTGTAAACATGATCGAACGTAAAGTTGACATTATTGACCATTTCTTTGTAAATGTGTACATTCCTCAGTAGAAACACGAGAATATAAATTATTGATTTTTTCCAACATGTGACCATGTATTCATGAAACATGTCGATTTCATATTGAGTTTACACACGCACTTCAAACTCCATTGTCCTAATTGTATGGAATTACAAGTGAGCCATCATCGACATTCATGTTGGGCGGTTATGGGAGCAATGAAATATCACTGTGTTCAATGTACTGTTCACCTTAGCAACGTTGTCTTCAATAGTCCTGCATGTCCTTGTAACGTATAGAACATTTCCATTCAAGTTAGTTCCATTAGCTCTACATATCCATACATTCATTCCAGGCAGCTGTATTAATGGCTTGTGGAACGGATTTCCGTGTAGACGTGAACGCTTGTCTGCTGGACTGGCAACAACCCGTTGACCGCCTTCCACAACTGACCCATGCTGACACGGTAACTAAGTCAGAAGGAAGACCTCTACTTGCAGAGAAGGCGTCAAGCAAGAAGGGCTTTCCCAAACCGAAAATAAGTAAGAAGAAAACTGGAAGTGAATATTCAGACCTCCGGCCTCTGATCAATGAGGATGCCGATGAACTACAGGACGTCGACCCTCATCCAGCTGACAGCAGCTCGGTGGAGGATGGTACCACGTGGCCTGTAATACAAGGTAGTGGTCATGCAGGTAACATTGCTTTTCTTGCTCATTTTGCTGTGAGCTGCGTGTAACGTAGCCTTGCTCCAAGGCTGTACTCAGTGCTATGCATCTATAGTAATTCTATCCCTTAAAGAGGCAAGTCTAGATAAGCGGACAGTACATCCAAGGACTTATATGTTATTTATATTGTTTAGAAACTATACTTATTACCGTAGAGAGTTGTGCAAGTGTACGTTTAACGCTGTTTTGACCAGTATTCCAGTTATATCAGGACGTGTAGGCTTGATAAAGGATATGGTCCTTAGGGTAGTGCAGGCATTAGACGTTCACCAGGTGTTGAAAGCCCACGAGCACGAGTATAGTGACGAACCCAAAACATAATCAGCACAGCCCAAGGGACTCTCAACTCTGTACAGCGCTTAAGTAGACTGGCACCCCACCCCTCACCCGTATGGCGAACCCTACTAAAGTGTCACTCGAGTCATGGCTAAGATTTGATTGTTTTACGCCCTCAGCTATATTCCAGCTACATGTCAGAGGTCTCTAAATAATCGTGTCTGGACCAGATAATCTAGTGATCAACAGCATGGGCATTGGTCTACGCAATTGTGTCAACCATGTCAGCGAGCCTGACGACCCTATCACGGTAGTCGCCTCTTACGACAAGCATGGGTTGCTAAAGACCAGCCCTAACTTGGATCTTCACTGGTCTCATGGCTAAGAAATACAGATAATAATATGAGCAATGACGCGTCCATACCCAACATGGTTGCCGCTAGAGGTGTGACGATATATCTTAGTATCGATAATCGTGATACTTTTTCTGACAATAAATATATCGATACTTTTTTTCGTATCGTGATATGTATCGTTGACCTTAAAATTGTGATTTTTCACTAGAAATTGACGGTTATGTCAAAATTTACAAGTTACTTGTTATCAAAATACACCTTTTAAAAGAAAATAACTAAAGATAGCATATCGTGATATGCATCGTATCGAATCGTATCGTTCGAAGATATGGCGATACGTATCGTATCGTGACATTTCTGTATCGTCACACCTCTAGTTGCCGCTCACGAAAAGCATTGCTGATCTGTGGGTATACTCACCCAGATGACCTATACTGGTTACATATGTAAGAAGAACTGACTGAAGGACTTTAAACATCACCGTCAGCAGTATATATATCATAGCGAACTGAGCGTTATCGCGACTAAGTACGTCATGTGTTGATAGATATGTATATGTTTAAGGTTTATGTTTGTAAGCATTTACTTGGAAAACATGTCCGGTGTATGTTTAAATGAAAAGAGTTCATCAAGTAATTTATACCCTTAGACTTACGAAGGACACTTCTGTAATCGACACAATCGGTTATTCTGGAGCAGTATACGCTCACCATTTGGCCAACACCTGGTACCTTCTCTGTGAGGCAGTTGCGGATAAACATGCTGATGTATACAGAAAGGATTTGTAGTGTTTATTTTATTTTCGGACACTGATCTCTTTCCGACTAATAAACACTTATTCATGTACATAGGATTCTTCCTCAGCAAACTCACAAAATTATTCTATTTTGAAATGGTCCTATCGCCCAAGAATGGCTTTTCTGTGGGATTCAACGTTAAAAGACCTGGTTCCTGGGATTGGAACAACGAAAAGGATTGGATTGCCAGGCTCTGCAACTGGATAATGTAGTAGTGGTAAATTGAGGGGCGTGGCTTATTAGCAATCCATGAATTGAATAGCTGGTCTAAACTTTTATTTACAAACCCTGGTCATGTAGGAAACTGAGTAGACATTGTACATGTTTTTCATTTGTAATCAGCTATGAAAGCAATTATATGTTTTACAGCAAACATTATTTTCATTTATTCCCTTCATCGTGACGATTTCCGTCACCGTCAACTAAATCATTTATATATATTGCAAATACTGTTTGTGACAGTAGCATTATGTAGCATATAAGAGTTCCGGAATATAAAGAAGTGCATCGGAACTAAATTTTTTAAATTTTATGTTACAGTTACGACACTGTAACCAACCAAGGCATTTATGGCTATAATAAAGCAAACACTTGAACACATGTACGCGCGCACTCACGCACGCACACACGCACAAGACCTAATATAAATGAAGGCATTGATTGACTACAAAAACATATTCCAATTAATGACACATCAACACAACTATTTTGCTAATTGTTGTATGTTTAATGCTTTTCCTCATTACGTAACACCTCAATAAGGGTTTCCTTCCTTCTGTTTGTAAGCCGAGGGAGACAGGACCAGCGAGGGCAATTCTCGGGGAATAACAACGTGTGAGGTCACCAGGAATCCAACACGGAAGCAATGTGAAAACATAACTGAACATGAATATTCAGATGTCAAGCCCCTGATTGACGAAGACGGCCATCGACCAACTGACCAACAACTGGTGGACCTCAGCGTCAGTGATGATGATTCCAGTTCTCTAGCCCAAAGTGATGCGTTGACAGGTACACTTATTTAGTACATTCTGCTCGTGTGTAGTCCACTGAAATGTAGTCCGCAACTAATATAAGAATCTTTGACTGATATGAGTGAGTTGTATTTAACGGCGCTTTGAACAGCATTAGTGATGTATCACGGCGTGTCAATGGTGGAGGGAAGATTGGACCCATGCAGGTCTCAGATGTACTGTACATTGACGTGAGTGAGTGAGTGAGTTTAGTTTTACGTCACACTCAGCAATATTCCAGCTATATGGCGGAGGTCTGTAAATAATCGAGTCTGGACAATCCAGATCGACAGCATGAGCATCGATATACGCACTTGGGAACCTATGACATGTGTCAACCAAGTCAGCGAGCCTGACCACCCGATCCCGTTAGTCGCCTCTTACGACAAGCATGGGTTACTGAAAATCAATATTGTAACCCATATCTTCACGGGTCTCTACTTTGACGAAACAAATGAGTCTGTACGTCGCCTTCAGACACGTGTTTCCCTGATTGTGATTACTTGATTGTTTGTTGTATAATGCGACCATCAGCTCCTTATGGCAGTGGACTGTAAATAATCGAGTCTGGATCAGACAATCCAGTGATCAACCGTGTAAAAGTCAAAGACGCATATGCATATTAGTTTTACAAAAAACTGATGTCGTGATTATGTTCATAATTATTACGCAAGATCGCACTCAATAAGGCTTTGACAACATACGAAATATGTTTTAGTGTTGCATAATAACTCATTTAATTCGAAAACACCAATATTATACAAGTAACTTCTTGGAAAAGCAATTACTATCTTGTATGGGGAAAAATTTATATGATGATGTAGCTATTGTAGCGCTACGGCTGTCATAAGTCTATGTTACAGGGCCTAGATTATCGAAGCTCTCTTAGCGCTAAGATAGTCGTAAGTGCCATGCATTAACATTAACTTACGACTATCTTAGCACTAAGAGAGCTTCGAAAATCTAGACCCAGTATAGGAGGTACAACAGTCGTAGCGCTACGATAGCTTTGTGAAACGGGCCAGGTTTACAAATGGACAAACTTCGTGTGCGGCCAAGTCGACTCGCACGTTACAACTTCCGGTTAACGTACAAGTAGGTTCCCACGCTGTTAAACATGTCCGGGAATGAAATATTCAGGAGGTCCTATCACAGTTTTATATTACGAGGAACTCAATCCCGGTAATATACTAAAGAGGAACAAACATGTAGACAGCAGTTAACTGGTGCAGTCTTTGTTTCTTGTTTGCGTTATCTCATTGGTTTAATGTACCGTACTCTATATACATCCAATATTCCAACCTCGACCAGTGTCGTATATATTATAAAACAGGACTAAAACACATACTTGCGCTCACCAAAAGCAGGCATAATACATTCTATATTTGATATATAAATTACTTAGAGGTGACGTCCAATGAATGTTTGTGTAAACCCTTGCATGGTGTAAACTGTCATTTTCAGAATCCTTTTCAATTAGAACGTCGAAACCAGTCATGTGTTCAGTTATTCAAATACAAATCAATATTTTCATTTTCAGTGTACTACAACATGATTATGGCGTCAACGAGGAAAGTGGGGACGTATAGCAACGATGAAGATTTGTACATTACAGCAACAGAAGAACATGCGCGGGATTTACCACGGGAGACCGTTTCAGGCAGGTTGGATAAGGCCCAGACTGATATCGAACGGTCCATGGACCAAGCCATGGCAGTGCTCCTGAACAAGAAGATGCTTCTCCTGGCCAGACTCAATACGCTGAGAAGGAGACGTGAGGAGGAGCAGAAAGAACGTGACAGAGCAAAGGCAAAGACTCCTATCAGAGTGCTTAAATCTCCAAGGGCAAGTCCTGGTCCAAATACCGATTCCGATACGGAACAGGATAGTGTGTTCACCCGTAAAATGGTTATCAGGACTGACAAGAGGAAGAATGAGCTGAAGCTACTTGATCAGATTGATGACATTGTGACAAAAGCTGAAATGATATCACAAGCTGTAAAGGGAGTGAACTACATGGCACCTTTCTTAGAGGATACAATCCTGGCTGATGTTGAAGGTGATGAGGAAACATCAGATCTGGTTGACGTGCAAGTCGTTCATGACGGAGGAGACACGTTTATTCTTGCCACCGACTTCAAAAACTCATGTCTCAAATCATTTTCGATCTCGTCAGAGGCTGCTAGCCGAGGTGTTCTCAAATTCGACAGCTCGCCATGGGGCATCTCTCAAGTACAGGCCAACATGGCTGCTGTGAGTGTCCCATTGTCAAATAAGGTGTGTTTCGTGCAGTTGAGGCCGCATTTGAAGCTGAAGGAAATGATAAAGACGAAGAAACAATATTACGGACTTGTGTCTGTTGGATCTCGTTTCCTAGTCGCTACTTCCCCATACAGCAGCCCTCGCTCTGTGGACATCCTCGCTATTACAGGACACATTCTTCACACCCTCACCGTGGATGCCCTGATGCAGCAGCCATCTTTCATCTGTCTCACACCTAAAGGCTCGTTTGTTGTCAGCGACCTTTCCAAGGGAGCAGTTCTGATTTTATCCCATAAGCTGGAATTCCAGTCTGGGTTGGAACTCGGAAACGTAGCCCACATGCAGTCGTCGCGTGGGGTAGCAACTAACAAAGATGGAGATGTGTTTGTGGTGGACTACAGTCAGAAGAAGGTGAAGGTCTTCTCGAGTGAAGGACTCTTCCTGAAAGACTTACTGACTTCCGAGGACGGACTCAAGTACCCCTACGGTGTTTGTTTTGATGATCAGGGTCGAATATGTGTCACGGACGGAGGCAAGATAAAGATGTTTAGTTACTGATGTAACTCCTGCTGATAGCCTCAATGCAGGTCATTGTCACGTCCAAGTGTGAGTAACAGCAACAACGATGACTGTTTTCCTACAAATGATAAAACGTTCAGAGCCAAATATGATTCATTTTCATAGAAATGATGTTCACGTCACGCCAGGCTGCCTTAAACTTTGTAAACGAAGTGGTGCTTACTGTCAATAATATCGTTAAATATACCTTGTATCGTTTGTACAATTAAACATTGTTTATGATATCTGAGAGAGGGGTAAATAAATATGGTTTTGGTGCGGCTTTTAGCAACATTACAGGCTCAGCGGGAGAACAAAGATAGAATGCGTTCCTGATAAACAGTATCGAACTTGAGTCTTCGTGTTGTCCTTTAGGCTATCTCACCCTTCCTGTTAAACTTCTCACTAGATTTTATGTCTACCAGTAAGTATGTCTCATGATATTTATGAACATGACTCCTGATGTACGGTGCACTGATGTACTGATGTACTGATGCACTGATGTACGATAATGGACTGACCAGCTGAAGGAGGAAGTCCGGTGTATGTGGCCTTTATACCCATCAATAAAAAGAAGAATTGCTTTCGCCTTGCCTGTTTTTCCTTTGTACATACATCATTGCACTCTAGTTCTTCGCACCATAAAGTACAACTGCATTTTCACACTATTCTTATTTAACATTGTTCCTTCGTATCATGTTCATGTTAATAGAGATAGTTTATTGTAATTTGATTGTTATATAGCCCCGCGTAGACAGGTAAAGATGTCAATACTCCCATGAGGTTTCAAAATATAAGAATTTAGGTAGCACCGTCATATAGGCTGTATTTTGCTGTGTGCGGTGTAAAAAGATAGGGGCCACGTAGACGCTGTTGAATAATCCTATCGCTCTTCGTGTGGTTGTATATTTGTTGTTTAACGCCGCACTCAGCAATATTCCAGCTATATGGCGGCGGTCTGTAAATAATCGAGTCTGGACCAGACAATCCATAGATCAACAGCATGAGAATCGATCTGGCAGGTTATGAAGGACAGAGTGGAAAATTGAGTGAGTGAGTTAATATTTAACATCACTTCGTCTATAGTTTAGCCATATCTTTGCGAGAACAGTGTATACATTAAAATGAATAGATGTAAAACAAAAGCTGTCGTCAATATTCAGTATAACTACAAAGTATCACGAATTGAAACTTAAAACTGGCACGTTATCACAAAAGGATGTCACTAGAGCGAACAATACAATATACATGTGGCCGAGTTGCTTTAATTAATTGGTTGTAAGTATACTATTCCAAAAATGAAACGCATAACCCAGAAATCTGTTGCGAAAATGTTGTACTTTTAAACATGTACAACATGAGTTCATTACATGAATTTTTACGTCAGTTAAGAAGAAGGTGATGTCTATACAACCAAGTGTATAACTGTAGTTAAAGGAGACGTTGAGCGCGATGGCGACGACGTAGCACGGTCCCGCCGTCGGGTCTCCTGGCTCTCAGCCCAATCTTTCTCAACCTGTTCCGCACCCTGGCTGCTGTGCTCTCACCCGTGGCAGTACCATCACGCAAATGTTGTACCCGGATGTACCGATCTTGGGCTGCAGTGGTGACCCGAGGTCTGCCTGTACGGGACGGTCATTTGTTATACCTGTTTGAACTTAAGAGTTCCTTACGGAAACAGAAACAACAGTCATATACTTAGAAAATGTATGACACAAGTACATCGCCGTTTCAACTAAATTGTTCAAAGATGATGTATCATGGAAGGAAGCAGTGTAAGACAAGTTGATATGAGTCATGCTACTCACACACAAGATTACATGAACATAGCTGTCGAGAAGAGACAGATAACTTGTAAACTGTGCACATGGAAATATGCTGTGTCCAGTCTCAGGCTGGCAGGCCTTAACAACTCAATGTATGACTCACGCCCGGTTCTGTTGTACGGGTCTGCTTGCAGAATGTTTTTATTGTCATAATAACTTAAGAGTAATAATGTATTTATCATCCAAAACTGTGTTCCACAGGAGATATCGCTTGTGTAAGATCATATGATATCTCTTAGGAGATATCGTTTTGACAGTAGATTTTTTACAATGCCCTGACAATGCTATGACGTCTGACGTCACAATGCTATGACATCGCTGCAGTGTTGAGAGATGTACACTTTTCATTGCAAACTAATGAAGAATGATTTTGATGATAATAGAATCTCACACTCGTGTATACTGATATCAATTATATTAACACTCGTTGATAAAGGTAAACATATCCTCGGCAAGCCTCATCTATTTGTAACTTTATCAACTCGTGTTGATATAATTATTATCAGTAGACACTTGGGTGAGATTCTCTATATACACACATGGAAATATGCTTCGCAGCAACCCATATATTTCATAGTATCAATACATAACCGTTACCATAGGAACTTATCAAACTTAACTGACCATCTGGATAGATTAAAACTAAGGGAATAATTAAGTGGCAAATAAAACCGCAAAACTAGTTTATTAAGAGGAGCAAAAAATTTATTCATTTTGTAGTGCTGATAACTACGGCGGTATGAGGTTAACAAGCGCGGTCATTTTGAAGATTATGGCACACAAGCCTAAAGAAATTACATAAGTATTGATAACCGAGCAGACTGTCAATATTTGGTGTAACCTCCGCCAACTGTAATAACCCCCCTGACCTTCCTCTTCACTGACTGTTTCAGACGTTGAATATGACGTTGAGGCATTCTATTCCAGATGGAGGATTTTGTAACGGAAGGTCTCTCTGGCCAATTCTGCGACCCATAATGTTCCAAACATGTTCTATGAGATTGAGATCTTAACTGGCTAGCTAAGACAGAGTTGGCTCTTTGGCGGAGAAATCACCAACGCCATGTGAACGATGTGGCCTAGCTTTGTCCTTCATGAAGACTGGCCTTGTGTTCCGAGGATGATCATCGAAGTGTGGTACAACAACCCTGTCTAGAATGTCAGTGATATACCGTTGTCTATTCAGATGTCTGATCGTCACAAGGTCAGGTTTACAGTCATGTCAGAGACACACTCACACTATCAATGAACTCAAACCAACCGACACTTGCTCCACGATATTCCGTTGTGCATATATGCAGTGTTCTGCGGTGCCAAACATGTATTTTTTCCCATGTGTATACATGCGATTATCTTGCCGATGTCGATAACTGAGCATCCGGGCTTTTGTGTCGACGGAGGGTGGCCTTTATACCCCTTTGTGAACATGATGCCGTTGACCGTATTATAACAATTCTTTCATATCGATGATATCTAATAATAGCACTGACCGTATTATAACAACTCTTTCATATCGATGATATCTAATAATAGCATTGACCGTATTATAACAACTCTTTCATATCGATGATATCTTATAATAGCATTGACCGTATTATAACAACTCTTTCATATCGATGATATCTAATAATAGCACTGACCGTATTATAACAACTCTTTCATATCGATGATATCTAATAATAGCATTGACCGTATTATAACAACTCTTTCATATCGATGATATCTTATAATAGCATTGACCGTATTATAACAACTCTTTCATATCGATGATATCTAATAATAGCATTGACCGTATTATAACTACTCTTTCATGTCGATGATATCTAATAATAGCATTGACCGTATTATAACAACTCTTTCATATCGATGATATCTAATAATAGCATTGACCGTATTATAACAACTCTTTCATATCGATGATATCTAATAATAGCATTGACCGTATTATAACAACTCTTTCATATCGATGATATCTAATAATAGCATTGACCGTATTATAACAACTCTTTCATATCGATGATATCTAATAATAGCATTGACCGTATTATAACAACTCTTTCATATCGATGATATCTAATAATAGCATTGACCGTATTATAACAACTCTTTCATATCGATGATATCTAATAATAGCATTGACCATATTATAACAACTCTTTCATATCGATGATATCTAATAATAGCATTGACCATATTATAACAACTCTTTCATATCGATGATATCTAATAATAGCATTGACCGTATTATAACTACTCTTTCATATCGATGATATCTTATAATAGCATTGACCATATTATAACAACTCTTTTATATCGATGATATCTAATAATAGCATTGACCGTATTATAACTACTCTTTCATATCGATATCTAATAATAGCATTGACCGTATTATAACTACTCTTTCATATCGATGATATCTAATAATAGCATTGACCGTATTATAACAACTCTTTCATATCGATGATATCTAATAATAGCATTGACCGTATTATAACAACTCTTTCATATCGATGATATCTAATAATAGCATTGACCGTATTATAACAACTCTTTCATATCGATGATATCTTATAATAGCATTGACTGTATTATAACAACTCTTTCATATCGATGAGATCTAATAATAGCATTGACCGTATTATAACAACTCTTCAATATCGATGATTTCCAATAATAGCATTGACCATATTATAACAACTCTTTTATGTCGATGACATCCAATAATAGCATTGACCATATTATAACAACTCTTTGAGATCGATGATATCTTATAATAGCATTGACCATATTATAACAACTCTTTCATATCGATATCTAATAATAGCATTGACCGTATTATAACAACTCTTTTATGTCGATGGTATCTAATAATAGCATTGACCGTATTACAACTACTCTTTCATATCGATATCTAATAATAGCATTGACCGTATTATAACAACTCTTTCAGATCGATGATATCTTATAATAGCATTGACCATATTATAACAACTCTTTCATATCGATGAGATCTAATAATAGCATTGACCGTATTATAACTACTCTTCAATATCGATGATATCCAATGATAGCATTGACCATATTATAACAACTCTTTTATGTTGATGATATCTAATAATAGCATTGACCGTATTACAACTACTCTTGATATCGATGATCTAATAATAGCATTGACCGTATTATAACTACTCTTTCATATCGATGATATCTAATAATAGCATTGACCGTATTATAACTACTCTTTCATATCGATATCTAATAATAGCATTGACCGTATTATAACAACTCTTTCATATCGATGATATCTAATAATAGCATTGACCGTATTATAACTACTCTTTCATATCGATGATATCTTATAATAGCATTGACTGTATTATAACAACTCTTTTATATCGATGATATCTAATAATAGCATTGACCGTATTATAACTACTCTTTCATATCGATGATATCTTATAATAGCATTGACCATATTATAAAAACTCTTTCATCTCGATGATATCTAATAATAGCATTGACCGTATTATAACTACCCTTTCATATCGATATCTAATAATTGCATTGACCGTATTATAACTACTCTTTCATATCGATGATATCTAATAATAGCATTGACCGTATTATAACTACTCTTTTATATCAATATCTAATAATAGCACTGACCGTATAATAACAACTCTTTCTTATCGATGATATCTAATAATAGCATTGACCGTATTATAACAACTCTTTCAGATCGATGATATCTTATAAT